ACACGCGAGAACAGAGGAGCAATTCGAAGATCGATGCGTTCGAAGATTTTATTGGATTTCAGATGTCCCTCGAGGGCCTTGAGACGATTTTAACGAGATCGCGCTTGGGTTTCGTTTTTGTTTGTCGACTGTACTGCGATGAAATTTTCCAAAGTTGGTCACGAGTACGCGTTATTGTGAATTTTATTTATATTCATGACGTCGAATAGTTTGCATGTTTTCCGGTAATGAATTATCAGCTTGCACGTAATTCGACGGATTTGCTTAGTTGTCCATTACCAAAATTTACAGATGATTATTCGTAAATCGTATACCATGCAAACACAGCTATAAAATCACACCAAATAATTTTGCCAACAACCAATAATATTCATTCAATCAAATATCACACGCTCGATTTCAACATAAAGTTACACCACAAGTAACATCCAAATTGAAATTTTGCAAAACGCGTCGACGCAAAAATTCCCTGCCGCGCATACATCGCCTCTAATTGCGCCCGTTAAATTTTCCCTCCCCCCACCCCTCGTAAGCTGCCCCTGCCACTTTTTACCCCAAGCGCACCAAGCTCGTAACGGTCGGTTGTTTTCCGCGCGTTTAATTAAAATTTACCACCCCATGATGAATGGTCTCAACGCATCCGTTTTTCATTATTTCTATTTGCGCCTCCTGCTGCCCTTTTGACGATGTGGAACGTTCCGATCTCACCTCCAGGTATGAACAACAATACGAACATCAACAGCAACAACGTAAGTATCCCCGGACGTCCCTGTCACTCCCAAGCGCATATGGTAATGACGCTCTAACGAGCTTTCCCGATAACGAGATGGAGCTCGGCGGAGACGGCATTGCGTCTGCAACGTTACGTGACTCTTTCAATACTGTAAAGCGTGCAGAATTGCGCAACACACGTTCCTCTCGGAATCCCCTTCGGTTCCCTTCAAACGAAATTGCGCAACGCGACTCTGTGTCACTGATGGGTGTCGAGAATACCATACACTCTCTACACATTGATCGGACCATTGTGTTGGCTGGCAATTATCGAAGGGGGGTTGGGTTACCCAACGAGAATGCGGTGGTAGGACAATTGTGTTTCAGGAGTTTCTGAAGATCCTCGCGCTCAACCTTGTGTACATATACTCGCGATGGACCAAAACAAGCCAGTTTGCACACGTAAAGTAAACTTCATCCCAGGCATACGATGTAAAACTTTGAGCTTCGAGCGCGACGCATACCCTGTACGTAAGTCGCCTGCTGAGATGCATCTCTCTCGCGCTCGCGCACACTGGCGGTTCTGCACTTACGTGATATACCTACGGAGCGTGTCTGTGCGTCGTGACTCAACTACGTTAGCGGGGGTGGAGATCCCGGTCTGACTCGAAATTACTCCGTGTTGCGTATGAGAGTTGCCGCGACCGTGTGACGAACGCAAGGTTTGATTGGACGTATTTTTTGGCGCTCCGGTGCACACGTGGGGATTTTCAATCGAGCTCTGTAGGTTTCGAGAGCTTGCGGTGCTTGAATCGTCGAATCAAATGAAAAAAAAAGAAAAAAAAAAAAAAAAGGCAAAGGAAACAAAAGAAAGGAATAATCGAAGGGGGCCACTCGACGTGTGCACTTGTACGTAACTCTCGTTGCACAAGCGCATACGTGATAGAAACTGCGTAGGTATAGCAAGCCGGGAATATATGCGCGCATCTAGACCGCGACCTATTCTTCCTTGGGATGGTTGTTGTCGGTGGCTCGCTTGGTTCTTCGGGGCCAACCAGCCGTGGGAGCCGACCAACCGGAAACACGGTGTAATCGAGCAGTGGCGCCAGGCCTGTGCAGGGGCGAACGTGAGTGCTCTCCGTTGCGCGTCGGTGAACTTCTCCTCTTTCCTTTTTCATTGTGGATCCCACTTGTTTGTTCCCCTTTTTTTTTTTTTTTTTTTTTTTTTTTCATAACGGGGAAATAATGAATGCATAGGCTGGTGCTCGTGGATGGATTTTTGCGCGCGATTCTACGTCCATTAGAAAATATCACTTTCGTGTCGCGAACGGGCAGAATAAGGGAGGACTGCGAATCAGTCGTGGCGAAACTTGGCTGGAAAGGGGGAGAGACTTGGCTTTCCCGGCAGCGGTGCGGAACTCGGTTGGCAGTGGTCAAGGTGCTACGAGAGGCTCTTAACCGCACAAATATAATCATGCCATACAGCGAATAATACAAGTTTCCAAAATAAACAAAAGTTTGGCACTCTACAGCCCATTGGGACGATTGTTTTGGATGATGATTGATCGGTCGAGTAGAGCTGATGAAGTAATGGTCAATACGTTTATTTTATTATTTTCAAGACGTGTGATGCATTTCATGCTACTACTACGTGATTCAAAAACATTTTTTTTAAAACACACTCGTACGCGCTCACATCATAGGAAGAAATAGGAAAAACTGATATTTCCTCGGGAGAGAGAGCTTGTGCTACACGTGCCCAGGGCTATTGTTCCACATGCTCGGGCACGATGCCGGATTTCCGAGCACCAGTTGGAGGGCACTGGTACACAGAGCAGTTGCCAGAAAACAACACGAAAATCGAACCACTGCCCCTATGTATAGGTATATGCGAGGATCTGAGCCTGGAGACGCACACAAATTGTAAAATAAAACGTTGAGAGTAATCAAAACCCTCGGAAACGATCAAACTTTCTCTCGCTAAAAACTACTCGCCGTAGGCGTCGCATCGCCGTTTAAGATGACGCAGAGATCCAAGATTCATTAAACGTTGCTTTGCAGGGCTTGCCTCTCTGTGTGTGTGTGTGTATGTGTGTACATGGCAAAGCGAAGCAGACGCGAAACTTCCTGGGCGAACTCGCTTGAGCGCGAAAACGGGTTACCAAGATTTCACTCCAGCGCTTCGGCCGGGGTGTGCAGAGGTGGGTGTTTGCGTTTATCGCTAATACAGTGATTTTTAAAGGGTTACTTTTTATTTGTTTGGAAAACATGAAAACACAAAGTAATTTTCACTCACCAAAGTGTCTCCGACTGGCGCATCCTCCACTGCTTAAGGACTTTTTTGATGTTTTCATCTCTCGACTGCTTAAACATATGGTCGGGAAAAAATTTGAACGTATTCTGTATAATTCATGCAAATAAATGACTCTTCTTAAAAGCTAAAAGTTAAAAGCTCGCGAACCTTATCTCCCCATACCCTTGCTATAGGCAACTGAGCGTCCATTTTGAGGATTCTGATGGGGTAGTCGATTACTTTTTAGTCACTGTGTACGATTGTGTGATTGTAGATTGTTGGAGAAAAAAAAAGCACACTTGATGTGATTTTCAACTGACCAAGTAAAACAAGGTAGCGTGTCACCTGGCAATGAGCAGCTTTGTGATTCATGAGTAATGAAAAAGTCAAGATCCATCGTGGGCATTTGCGCCGAATTGACATTAAAACGCGACCAGCTCGTGTTTACCGTTAATAAAATACAAACTAGCACTAATCGGGGACAGATAATCTCGACCCGCCTCTGAAAATTTCAACACGCAAGTTGTTTCATTTCCCTTCTACTCGACCGGGAAAGGGGGGGAGGGAAAGGTCAGTAGGTTTTTTCGCAGCACCGCCCGAAACTGCGGTAATCATCTGTAAACTACACTCGTTGGCCGCTGCTCGATGGCGACAGCTGTACACAACCCGGAAACTCGATAGCAGCAGCTACTCTGGCTGCAAATTTCGAGTCGAGCTGCTGACAACTGCCCCCCTTTTTTCCACCCTAACTGTTTTTTTTATTTTTTTTATTTTTATTTTTATTTTTTTTATACAATGTAACAAGTTTCCAATTGTAAGGATGTACTCATGCCAAAAACTGGAATTGAATCATGACTATTAAACTCAGAGGACTAAATTCTAAATTGGACAAGACACGGGGTGAAATTGGGTTCCAATATGGAAATTGAAAATGAAAGTTTGATGAAAGGATTTGGCCCTCGCGTTGTCTTTTCCTTGAATTTACACGAAAATCGATGGGATCGTGTTACGTAATTTACGAAACAATAAGACAAAGCCCCACGCCTCGGTTAGCACGTACAAAGAGGGTCTCGGCGCGTTCATTAGTCCCGTGAAGGTTAAAGGTTGTACACTTCCGAGAAACGCGTAAGAAGGATGTGAGGTACACGAGCTACAACGTATAAGCTGCACGTGCATTGTTGCCGCACAATATGCTCTCCCGTCGTCCTGTGTATAGAGCTCGACGCAAGGGACTCGAGTGATCATGATGCATTAACGTAAAACAATCTTTTTTTATCGCATCCCTCATTGTTGGGTAAAAGTTGATGATTGGATCAAAAAACGTCTTGAAGATTTTTTACTTTTTTTAATTCGAAAGTCATCGAAAGAAACTTGAACCAATGGCAAGAAAACTAGCAGGGGCACGGCTATTTATAGCTATTCGGATGTAACGTCACTCTTAATTTCCCCCGCCCCCAATACTTACTCTTTCCTTGGATAAGTTAAAAAGAATCCTAACTACTTTTAGAGAAAAGAAAATTTTCTCCAGCTTCGAAGCATAATTCATGAGTATTCTTTTCCTCTCTCGGGAACTCCTCTTTCCCTCCCGTAGTGCCAAAGTTCTCGCGAACTGCTACCAATCACGTATGTATACGAATATACGTCACGTGCGAGCCAAGGGAGCTTACTCGCGAAATGATTTTTTGATGCCAGTGCGCATGAATTGTTGTTAGCATGCCTGTATAACTCTCGTTGTTTCGTCGACATGCGTAAGTGATGTTTGACATGAATTTATCCTTCCGCGCGCATAAAGTTTTGATTTACATGAATGAACGACCGTCAAAGAAATGCACACTCTCAATTCATAATGGAAATAAAAAGAGCGAGCACATCAGTCCCTCCCATACGAGTAACCAAAAAATTTTCTAATGCAACAGTCAAACTTGATGGAAAAAAAAAGGTCGTTCGAGCGGAAAAAGAGATTGACTAACGCTTACCAATTGTTTTGTTCCAGCAGCCGAGGAGCTTGGTCTGGGCAACACACTACCGACCACGCCTACGGAGCTCAAGCACTACCCGAAGCTGTGCGAGACGCGCCGCAAGTTTCCCGTCCTCTACCGCGTCGAGTTTCAGGTAAGCTTCTTTTAGTGCGCTTTTTCTTTCCTTCACCGCCTCTTTCTCGTTGTGCACGTGCTGGTACATGGCAAGTGCAGAGCGCATAGGCTGTTAGCAGGACGCGGGATTTATGGCGAAACGATTTTTATGCCACGGGTATAGTTCGCTACTGTTTTTATGGCCGATTCTTTGGGGTTGGGGCTCGTGAATGAATTGCCGGGTAACTAACGGGTTTCTCTTTTTTTTTTTTTTTTTTTTTTTTTCTTCCTGTCACTCTTCCACACATCAAAGGGCTTCTTGAAGAGTTTCGCCGTTAAGTTTTGCTGCTGTATTTTTTTACTTTACGACGCAGCTTTTTATATTTCAGAAAAAGTTCTGATGTGGTATTTTTTCCCCTTTTTTTCTTCAAATAAGTTTCTTTTCATTACATTTTGAGTTATAGGGTAATGTAAAGGAAAGCAATAAAGTTTTCTTGGAAAATAGACCCCTAGAATTCAAACAATTTATTCCGTTAAGTAACTCGTGGGGGTCTTCCGTTTGAAGTGATTCAGGTAAGGAATCTTATTAAATTCCGAAAGGAAGCAAGATTAATGTAAAATCGGTCGTAAGAAACAGCTTGAAATCGAGCATAATGGCTGTAATACAATTTGAATCTCGGCTTTTCGCGCAAAATTAATTTTCCGAGTTCTCTATTGAATCGTGAAATGGTATACAGAATCGATTGTGGGGGAGGGAGGTCATATTGTTCCGAAGTGGGAAATAAAAATTTGACAATAGAGCAAAGGACGTAACAAAGTGAAGGGATTTATCTGAAAATGGAACCAGGCCACTTTCGCTTTTTAAAACAGTTGTTAAATAACCGTGCACTAGGAAGCAAAATGGTCGGAAAAAGTAATCATGAGTTTGTATGGTAAATGAAAAAATAAGCGATAAAGTAAATTAACGCAGATACTGAGAAAACACTTTTCGGCTTTTCTCTAGGATTAATTAGACAGGCGGGCTCATTTATCCTCTCTCACGGCAGCGTTGCTCAAGACAGCTCTGATTCAGCAGAAAATTACTCATTCGTTCCAACGATTGATAAAATGAATCGACGAGCTAAACGAAACTATTTACAAAAGAATATCGGAACACGAGGATTATGTGTGAATGATGGTTGGCAGCCTCAGCGATCGGCTTTTTTCCTCTCGCATGCAAATTTTAAACGGGATGCTCATTAAAACAGGCGAGTGAAAGACCAAGACCTGTCACTGGCTCTCTTTTGAAAAAAGTTGTTTGCCACTGCAAAAAGTTGCGAAGCGAGCTTCAAAGCGCTGGCGCTGGAGTTCGAAACAAAATTTTCACAAAGCTATTGGGTGACCTCGCGTGGAGATTTTTTTTTTTTTTTTTTAATTTCTCTCTGTAACTTTCACGCTTGGATGAATTCATAATCAGTAGTTAAAAGCTGAAAAAAATTTTGATATCCTTAATTTTCTTAACAATGGCTGATTGAAAATAAAATCAAAACGAGCTCTGTACACTTTTTTTTACGTGTTTTCAACTTCACTAAAAAAAAAGTGGCGGTGGCAGTACCTGAGTAAAATTTTCTCAATCATTGAAAAAAAAAATTATTTGTCAAAATTCCCAACGTGATACCAACTTTTTAATTGTTTTTACAAAAGCATACAATGGATGATTTTTCGATGGAATTGCTCGTGTACTCATATCGAGAAAACCCATGTAACGGAGAGAGAGAGTGATATTGGCTTTCACGAGAGCGTACACGTGAGTAAACAAAGCATGGAACCTCGTATTCAAAGGGACCACTGTTTTAGCTCCTCGTACCTCTCACTGCTGCTGCTTACATAAACCACGAGTACTTCCGTGCGAAGGCAGAGATTTTAAGGGAGACGCATTTAAAATCAAAATTTGTACGCTTGACAAGAAAAAAAAGGGTCCTACACGTGATCGCCACGTTTACCAACTCCCTTTTGCCCATCCACGTACATCATGTGCACACCCACTTCATTGTTACCGCGTATACACGAGCAGGTAATCATCGTGAAGCTTAGCAGCTCAGAGGGTACCGCAACACACCAAACACGAGTGCGCACACACAAACGCGCTATAACCGTAAGCGGTGCCGCAGCCACTGAGGCTTGTATTTGCTCGCCTGCTCGAACTGGATTACACGAGGTATAGCCGTGCACGTGGACGAAAAGCGAGTTGCGTGTCTAATAGGCGGGTTTTTGCGCGTCAAGAGTACGGATAGGCGGGGTGTACGGACTTTTACCCCACTCCCTCTATAATTTTTGTGGGCACAAGATTTAACGGCAAAGGAGGGTGATTTTTTTGGTTTTATTATCCTTTTTGCGAGGAGAGATGATGGCTAATTGGTCTCAGGCACGCGGTTGGCTTGTTGTGGACTCACTTGTACGGTGAGCTTTTATCGGGGGCTACTTCAGGGGTAAACACTCACGGTTGTTCTTGTATTTTTTTTTTATTGCTTGTTCATTTTACGGTCGCTTTGAGATTATCTGGTGATATTTTTGATAATGTTGAGTTATAGTCGATCCGTAGACTAGCTCATTCACTTTTTGACATAAAAAATGTACCACAGTTTAGTGTTCTTCGCTAGACCAGCTATCAACTGTTCTCCTCCAGCATAAAAGCGTTAGTACATATTATCCCAGGACCTCACAATTAACCCCCAATGAAAGCATTGAAATTCCCGATTCTCAAAGCCAACTGCATTAGCATTTCGATTCATCGGTATTTTCAAGTTCCCGCGCGTGGATTCGACTGCATCAGCAGTGGCGGAGTAGAGGACAAAGTGACGTCTCTCGAAGGGTAGACGGACAGACAGCCAAGACACTCGAGACAGAGTAATTTCGCGCGACACCAAGGAAACGGAGATCAAGGAAGATAAATAAAAGAAACCTGGGAAGGAGGGTGGAGAAATAGGGAGGGAGGGTGGCGAAGAGCGATCGATTTCTCGTTAAATGGAAACTCTTGTTGCGCTATTCCAGGCACGGAAAATGCCATTCTTGACCCTTTTACGCTGCAATGGAGGAATAGTGTGCGTATATGTGCAGGGAGGAAAGGAAGATAGCGAAAAACTCGATGTTTCTTTACTCTTTTTTTTTTCCATTTTATTGATGCAAGGAACGCGGAAGATGCAATAACAGATTGCAGCATGCAGGCGTCGCTCGCTTTTACAATCTTTTATATATGTAGTCATACGGAACCTACTGCAACACAGGAATAAATTATTGATTTTTATGGAACTCAAGCAAGGGCTATTCAACGTGTGAATAGAAATAAAAGTTCCAAAAGGTATCACCATTTTAAAGGTAAAAGAAACTTAACATGGGTCGAGAAAGAAGTTTTCTTACAATTTAGAATTGGACGTGATACAGAAAATTTATTGTCACCTTTTCCCACCATGAATAGAGGTACTACCTACCCTGATAAAACTTCTAGTCGAGATAGTATCGTTTCCTACTAAGTCACACATTTCACGTGTACTTGGACCAACTTGTAAAATAAATTAAACCCGACGCTGATCTCCAGCATCTCAGTTGCTATAATTAATTTATGCATGCAATACTTTCTTTACCATCCAAATATCTTGTGTCAGGAAAAAGTTTTAAAAAAACTTTGTATCCGCTTGTACCAGCTATCAAGCTATGAAATGTCCTTCTACCATATTATTTACCTACGTCCTGTTATGTTACGTTGAAGGAATAAAGTCCAAAAAGACAGTGGAAGATGCATTTTTACGAGTCGATAAGTAGCTTTCTTTCCAAAACAACGCTCAACTTTTACTTTCAAAACAGAAATATCAAGAATATTCGAGGGTCATAAATTTTTATGCTACATAATAGTCATTACTTTCAACTAATACAAAATTCAGTAGTATAAGACAATATTACATCAGCCCCAAAGTCTAGAAACGCGATAAGATATTTAATTTAACTTGTTTGAGAATTGGAATACTGTAACCAAGTAAAGCGTAACCTGCTAAATTCACACGTGTCTAGTAGTGCAGGACTATGTGAAGTCAGACATCACACCTTACAAGACGTCGTAGGAGATTTACTTAAAACCGTCATCTTTGCAAATCGTTGATTTTTTTACTTAAAATATTATAACTAAACATAAATTAATTCTAATAAATATTAGTTACAGTAGTATAAACCAATATTTTGTCAGACATNGTATGGGCAAAAAAGAAACAAATACGAGATATTACGTGACGATCGTCACCGCGTCGAAATGGCACACAAATAATTATGGTAGATACCAGAAAAAAAAGCGATGCAAAGATAAAATTATTGGAAATATGAGGGCGTTTTATCGAAAAAGCAACGGTGAACTTTCTGATCTCTGATTGCTGTTATGGACGTTTGACCGGTTTCAAACTGTATTGTGGAGATTTCAGCACTGCATGTATTTTTATTTTTTTTAGTGTTGGACGTAATTGTATTTAATTCATGAATGACTGAGTTCACTTAGTATATGAACGAAATAAAAAGCCTTTTATTAAAAATCATAAATAAAATCACCTCTGTTTTATATTTCAATAGCATCGTCACTATTGAAGTCTCATATACGAAATGGAGAATTTTACATCAGGTATCAATCATTAGAAACTGCAAAATCCTTACTTGGGCTTACAAAATAAGAAATAAGGTATTGTTTCCTTCACTTCGCCATCTGATTTAACGTGGGTAACGTCATATTCGTTGCTTTTCAACTATACTTACCCTGCAAAATACACCTTTTATACAGTAAACATATTCCTCGAATGGTGTAACCATTTTCTTAAGACGAAAGAAAACAAAAGTAGTCCATACAATGTCGTGTGGATATATAACATATGCAAAAAGCTCGTACTCTTGGAAAGAAAATTTACGAGGCGCGACACTGGTACTATTGCCACGATTCATCGAGCCCTCAATCGACTTCTTTTCTGGTACCTTTCGTTTTTTCTTTCCTATGTATTAATCTTTTCGAGCTCTACGACTTTTGGGATACCCTTGTACATTTTACTTATTCTTGTACTGCAAGTATGAAAAACGGAAATCACGTTTTCATCGGAGCAGAAGCATAATTTTCATCTTTTTTTTTTTTTTTAATGCTATAAAAAAATCTTTTCTCGCATTTCCCTTAACACTGCTGATCTACAAAAGTGTACCTTGCGTTAGAAAAAAAAACTAAGAAAATAAGTATACCAAAAAAAATCTTCAACCAGCACGAAGTGGGTAGCCCCCGAATTCGTCAAGGCCTTTATTTCACGTAACGCGTGCGTTAAGTGTCGATTAAGCCAACTCGAATAGCCCTCGGCGCCCCTTCATCCCCGACTATTATCTTAAGTACCTCCTCGAGCCGTATAATCTCCCGCACTGAAAGCAAAAAAAAAGAGAAAAAATCCTACAGCAAGCACTTGGTGACGGGAATTTTTATTTTTCCCGACCATATCCCATTCCGAGAGTACGTATATCCCGTCAAGCCAGCCGTATTTCAACTAATCTTATTTTTTCCCCTTTTTCATTCACCTACGTATACGGCGCTTATTTCTCTCCCTCCCCTTTTATTGTTTGCTCGTGCCATATCGAAGTTTACTCCCTGCGTTTCTTCTTCCTTTCCCTCGCTTTCTCCTAATTGTTCTCTTTTTACGGACTCACTCTCGGCTATTTATTATCCTTCCTCTACTTCTTCGGAGCTGCAGAACACGTGATCGATGCGCCAAGGCGGAACGGAGAAATTTATTTGTTTGGCTCTTCATCTCTTTCCGAAATGAAATATACAACGTCACTGTAGATGTTGCCAGAGTTTCTTTCGAGACAAAAGTTCGTAGAATTTCGATGTACCAAAAAAATATGATTTGTCATGATTTTTTAAGTGCTACCACCATTACCAATACAGTTGCCAAGGCTCGAAAAAGTTGTGAAAAAAGAGTTCATCCCCATAGATTGTAGTAGAAATAAAATATAGATGAGTATTGGCAATCTACCCCTGATAAATAGGTACTTCAATATTTATCTACTGAGGCTTCGATCGAACTTACAAATACAAATATGTTAGGTACAAGTGGTAAACGGTACATAACGCGATTGCATCCCTACGCAAACTCCATCCGAGATCCCTTTCAGGCAAAGGAGCGACATCCCGTGATGTGTACTATATACAACTACCACGCAAAGTGATTCTCTTTGATTTCGAACTCGAACGCAAACGCAGATCCGAAACCAACTCAGCTGTTTACAGGGGCGTTGATTGCTCGCTTTAACGAGGCTTTTGTTGTGCGCGACGCTTGAGCGTGCAATTAATCGGTACGAGTGTCGAACACGAATAGAGTCTCGAAACGTTTCGTAGCACTTCGGGTGGGTGGATTTATGGACGTACGGAGAGACTTTGAGGCTATTTTCAAGAGGTTCACAAACACGTTACAAATTTCGAAGCCAAGAAGGTGTTTTTGAGATTGGTACGATATTTTAAAACTGAAGGGAGTCAAGTTATGTCGTGAGGAAAAGTTTGGTCATTTTTATTGAAAGTTTAGGCGAGAGATTATTTTTCTGGAGGATAATAAGACTTTTAAGTAGAAAAGTTCGAGTTTGGTCAGACGTGAGAGTAAAAGGTTATTTTTGTCTTTATTTTGATTTTACGTATAGTCCATCTAAACCGTTATTCTGAGCTAAGAATTGTTGGTAGAAAATTGAGGTGAGTGAGTATTTTTCCAAGAGGTAGAGGGGAAAATTTCAAGCAGAAAACCCACTGACTTTGGTGAGGCATAAAAAACTATTTTTTTAACTTTATTGCTTTCACTCATGACCTTTCCCAACTCAGATTATTTTAGCGACGAACTGTTCACTGAAAGTTTAGATAAAGGAGTATTTTTCCCGAGGGATACAATTTTCAAGTAGAAAAGTCCGAATTAGGTCAGACATTGGCGCAGAAGGGATTTCATTTCACTTTGTTCAATTTCAAGTGCTTCATGGCAGAAAGTTTAAACAAACACTGTGCGTGAGCTAAAAAAACATTACATTAAGCAAAAATATTCATATTACTAGGAACCCTCGGGACAAAAAAAGATATCTGCATCACCCAGCTTTTCACCCACGATAAGCCGAACGCGCACGCATACACGCAAACTCTTTCAGCTGCCTGAGTGCTTAGCTATTCTCAACGCGTCCGACGCGTCTTATTTTCCATATGTCAAGCTACCCCTTGAAAGTAGCCTTCTTTCACTCCCCTATTTTCATCCATCGCGCGTCACTCCCCCTGTCTCAAAAAAAAAAAAAAAAAAAAAAACACTATCTTCCAAGTAGGTCTCTTTATCTCTTATTTTCTCCCGTGACCTTGTTCTTTCGCAATATGGTGGGTACACGGGACTCACGCACGTAGCCATAGTGACTGAGCTTTTCCGGCTTCTCTTTGTGCGAGATTCGCACGAATGAAAAGGGAAAAAAGGTACGTGATGTACAGAGGAACTGTTTGCCTTCGCACGGCTGCCGTCGGAAATATATGGCGCGAAATAAACATGCGATATTGTGCGCTCGGAGCGAAATGTAAATTTTCAACGCATGTTGCTTGTACGGTGCGTGGAGGATGAGACGATTTTTGACTTCCTCGTCGAGGAAACTTTGTTGGAATTGAGTTTTCCTAAAAACGTGTTTTATGGCGCGAAAAATTAGAAATACGTCTTCATGTGTGTGTTACGTTTACTGATTTTAATGGTTTGGAGTTGAAAACTTTTATTTTTGTTTAAAACTATATTTTACGTGCCAAAAAACTGTTACTTTAGTGAATATTCAACGAACGGAGAGAGAAAAGTACAGTAAGCTTGAAAAATCCCATCAGCAGTTTCGTGCGGAAACGATGTAGTATTTTTTACACGCGTAAACGAGACACCGTTTTAGCTGCAGCGCGAAACCTGACTCAAGCTCGTGAATTCAGCAATGGTTATGGTGACTCAACACTTTGCTCCTATAAAAGAAAGAAAGCATTAAACAGAAAGTATGGGCAAAAAAGAAACAAATACGAGATATTACGTGACGATCGTCACCGCGTCGAAATGGCACACAAATAATTATGGTAGATACCAGAAAAAAAAGCGATGCAAAGATAAAATTATTGGAAATATGAGGGCGTTTTATCGAAAAAGCAACGGTGAACTTTCTGATCTCTGATTGCTGTTATGGACGTTTGACCGGTTTCAAACTGTATTGTGGAGATTTCAGCACTGCATGTATTTTTATTTTTTTTAGTGTTGGACGTAATTGTATTTAATTCATGAATGACTGAGTTCACTTAGTATATGAACGAAATAAAAAGCCTTTTATTAAAAATCATAAATAAAATCACCTCTGTTTTATATTTCAATAGCATCGTCACTATTGAAGTCTCATATACGAAATTGTAAAAAATATACGAGACATTTTTACTAGGCAAGCTATTTTTTTATGTCAATTTTTTATTAATTTGACATACAAGAATTGTTTAACTGATAAGCAAGTTAGGTAGATCAGCGAAAATATTTACTAGTTTGATATAAAAAAAAATAACTCAGATATAGCCAAGTGCCACTAAGTGATTTATGCTTAACTAACATTTTTTTTTTTTTTTACTAAAGCTACGGTATGAAACAACGGTATAGTATTCCAATTACTTTTGCTAAACCCTAAAAAACAGGAATGTAATTTGAAGTAACGTTAAAAAGTAATGATACAGCGTCGTGTACCCATGATAAATTTTACCGTGTCGTCGCTCACAGTCTCTACACGCGCTGAAAATAAAGAGAAAATTTAGTAAAAAGTTGCGTACACGTGCGACTAAATGAGCAGGCCAATTAAAGTAAAGCACGCGGGTGGCGAGAGAAGTAGATGCAAATTAGCGCGGCTGAAATATTATTCGCGTGTACGAAGCATGAGAGAATCGGGTGGTCGCAAGGATCCCGCAGCGGGGAGTATGGTAATAAAACAAGAGCTCGCAGCACACAAGTGAACCAATGTTAGCTGGCACCTCCGACACTCATCGCTTTTAAGGATTAGGAAACGTATTTTTTTGGATCTTTTTTTTTAATGAAAAAATGTTATGTGCTTCGATTGATTACACCTCCACGTGACGTAAAAATTTTCATGAAAAGCAACAGAGAGAAAAAAAAAAGTACACAGCAAGCCCCGGAATTCCACGAAACGCATACACACGTTTCCGCGAGAGTCCAACAAGCGCACGTCCGTCTATCGTATCTCACTCTGCGGTTCGATATCAAACTCGGTTGAGTTTACACGCTCCACGTCCCTTGTATCGACAAGACAACAAACAAAATCATCCGCTCGCTCGCCAGCATGAAAAAAAAAATAAAAATAAAAACTCAAAAACCCGTCACGTCGCGATAATAGAATGAGAAGCGCCGAGAGGACTAGGGGGTGGATGGAAAAACGGCGTGTTTTTCGCTCCCTGGCGTGCCCTTAATACGCCAACCCCGAGACAACATTTTGGCAGCCCGCCAGCCGGCTACGGCGTCATCTTTTTTTTTTCGTATGGCATCGCGAAAAATATAAGACGCTCCCTCCTTTCTCGCGCATCTCCGAGATTTTTCCGCTCGAATTTTCACCGAACGACTTTCTTTCTCTTCGTGTAATGTATTTTTCCCTGTCTTTGCTTTCACGGTCACACAGGAATAGTAAGCACGTCGCGTCGATATGGCACAAAGAGCCTCGACGTTTTGAGCGACTTTTCACGGTGAAAATACTTGTTTATGAAGGTCTGCTTTACTTCCCAGGCATTCCATCGATTTCCAAGGATTGCGAGCAATGCTCAGTCTGGGCAAGGTTTTCAGTGTGAAATGTCAGTGGCAAGTTATCAAGGAGTTTTCGTAAACACTTTTTTTACATGGGGTTTTGATGGAACGCGGAAAAGCTTGACAAAAAAAAACAAACCAATTCTCAATCATTGAATCTGTTGGTGAATTCAGTACTGTATTAAAAAGACGTTATGTTCTTGAATATGTTGCAGACGGCGTCGAAAGTCGAGGCGCACTCATGCAGGCACGCAACGAAGCAAGCGAATCGAGAAAAAAACCAAAACCAAAAATGTATTCCATGTAAGTATACGGTCACGTACTCAAATTAATCTATAATAATAAGAATATCAGAAAGTTGCATGAAATTGAAATAAAATGTGCAGTGCCTATTTTATTTATTTTTTTTTGCCACGTTTTCGTGTGAGGGTTGTACCATGTGCAGTTTAAAACTGGCTTCCATTACTTTCATAATGTTAAATGATGAGTTTACAAGATAAAATAACGTAAAGATACAAAAATGTCCTAACAAGCATACGAGTGACTGAAAAGAGTAACGATGGAAGTCAACGAAGGCGTCTTTGATAAATTTTTCGAGCGCAGTCACAGCCACATTACTACCGAAATCCTGCACCGAAAAATCGACTGAACGTCGGTGACATTATTCTTGGTGTGGGCAGTAATATTTCATCTCGAGTCTCGAATTTTTCATACTCTGCTATTTTTACTGCTCAATAATACGGAGACTTGGTGCCCACACTCCAGAATTATCACCCCTAATATGGATTCCACTTTTGCGTATGGCGAAATGATAAAAACCATACAACCGGAGTTATTAAAAACTCGGCCTGTGCACCAGTTACATCATCCCAGCACTTCTACGAGCTATTTAAACCCCCCCTATCTCCCTCCTTGATAGTATGTAAATGCGAACGAGCATTTTAACGCCAGGCCATAAAACTTAAGGTCGCCTCACGACCGGAAGTTCCAGTGAATTTTTCATACACTCCTTTGCTCCTTTTCCGCGCCCGGGCATTCCTCCCTTTTTACGTGTCCACCAGCGCGTGCTTCTGCTTTTTGCGTTCACTTGAAGTGCTCTCGAGGGTGAACAATTTTTTACTTTTTTTTTCCATTTTACTTACTATGTGTGAAATTTAGTGAGATACATAAGAATTTTCACGAGAGAGAAAAAAGGAAGTTTCTCCCGTATACGCGACTGGTTCATTGTTTTCATTAATTTCGTCGAGAATCGCACTTAGCATAATAGATAGAAATATTCTTTTCATATCATTTTATTGCACTACATAATAGTATTTTTTAATTTAATGTTCAATTTTAATACAAAAGATTGCAAAGAATAAACTATTATTTTACAGTATAGATTCATCAGGTATTAATCCAGCAAGAAGTTACGTTAAGTTTCTGTACTATTTAGTTGGTCAACATTTTTTTTTTTTTTTTTTTTTAACGAGTAAAAAATCCTGTGCTAGCATGTTTTTTTTTTTTTTTTATGCAATAGGTTGCTTAAGGAAAACTTGAAATTAATATACAACACAGTAGTATAAGACAGTACTACGTCAGGAAAAATCATAAAAGAACATGATCTTTACTTTAAGTCATTTTTTGGTTTCTTACATTTAGCGCATCACGATTAGAAGCAATAGGTAAATTACACAAACACAAATACACAAATGATGATTAAGTAGTACTAGACAATGTTACGTCAGACATGAGCCCAGATATAATTTATTGAGATATTTACTTTGACTCAGTACTTCTAAGATCATCTATTTTTATGCAAACTTATGCCTAAGCTCGCTTACATTTAATACACAATACAGTAGTATAGGAGAATTTTACATCAGGTATCAATCATTAGAAACTGCAAAATCCTTACTTGGGCTTACAAAATAAGAAATAAGGTATACTTGTATCAATTACGTTAACGTTATAATTAATTATTCCTCATTTACCTGGTCGTATACCACAAACAGACACATGGATGGACAGCAATCGGATGGTGTGCAAAACCGACACGTGAAAAGCCCAGCGTGCAAGAGGAGGAAAAAAGCACTTCTTTGAGAGGCACTTCGCACCACGTAACTACGTTTCTCGCGACGCTCGCGTCCTTTGGCAGCTCTCGGGTCTCCTAGACGCGTTTTTCTTTTGTGAGAGCAGAGCAATTTGCGCTCGAGCCCGTAGCATCCCGTTGTTTCTTCGTTGCAGGAACACGGGGCTCTTTCCGTAAAAGAACGGCTTATTTTTCCGAGGAAAAAAGGGTCCGGCAAAGGTGCTTTTCTCCTCCCCTCTTGAGTGGATGTCCTTTTTTCTTCTCTCATGAATCTTTTCTCCGGGCGGTTGTGATTTCAGCGGCTGGTACATGGCTGGTAACGAGTTTGAGAGGACGCGACAAATGTTTACTCGAACTTATTGGCTTTGATACTTGACTCTGGTTACTGGTTTTAGGGACAAACAGTCGGGGTGCTTGGAACTTTTTTAATGAAATTTTGAAATTTCCTCGTCAACTCAAAGTTAACTTTTTAATTCAAAACTTTCAATGACTATAACTTAATAATATTTTTTACAGACGACTACAACAGAGTGGTTTTAGAAACGATAAAGGGCCAACCTGACTCGGATTACGTGAACGCGTCGTATGTCGATGTAAGTACACTAATCTTAGAAATTCATGTTTGAAACGTTGTAGTTTTGAGATTTGTTTTGTTCCATTATTCATACTGATGGCAAATTTATTGAGAAACAAATTATTGAGTAATACACCGTGCCATACGAAAAAAACAAAAAAATGTAGTCCATCTGATTTTTTTTTTTTTTTTGTATTTCCATCGGTTCGCAGAGCTTATTGAAACCCAATGCCTACATCGTAACGCAGGGACCCATGGAAACCACAGTCATAGAATTCTGGCGAATGGTTTGGCAGGTGAAAGCTGCGTGTATAGTCATGCTAACGAAGACGTTCGACTTTATCAAGGTAAGCACGTGAATTCATTTCTTGAACACCTTTAACGTATTACAATAAGAAGGACGTTTTTCTTTTCTCCTCTTTCAAAATTCTTTTGAATAATTTAAAAAAGTTCCCGAACTCAAGGAAACCTTCTTTCGCTACACCCTGCATGAATAGGACCTCCTCTATGGCTCTGAAAAGCGCCTTTTAACTCAATGCACGAGACGAACTTGTCAAATGAGAGGCCTCAAAGGAGAAAACACCCAAGACAAGAAATCGACGCGGTTCTTAATTTTGTTACGATCCGTCCGTACTCTTCTTATCCTCGACAAACAGGAGGTCCCTCCGTTCCTGTCCTCCTCAGTCGTACGGCTGCTCCAAGCGAGTTACAGCCAACTTGTTAAGAACTAGTTACTTAAGGCTCGCTCGATACTACGCCCACCCCCTCGCACGCGCGTATCTCCTAGTCAGTGGTGAACTTCCGGGCGCGTCGTATCTTCTTCTTCTCCTCACGTCTTTCCGTACAACGACGCGTTATATTATTACGTTTTTTTTTTTTTTTTTTCCGACGCGTTATATTATTACGTTTTTTTTTTTTTTTTTCCTCCGAGTGTCGAAAAGTTTGTGTCTCTCTTGTCTTTGCTACACACGGTACACCCACGTGTGGATATTCGTGAGGGCTCAGTGTTTGTTTCCAACTACACCCCCGCCTCGATGATTAATCTAATTTCGTTTGATTTGTTTGGGCGACACGTCGCTTCCGTGGGATATCGATAATCATACAAGCCGATTGTACTTTCATCAGCTGTCCCGCCTGTGCTTATCACGTTTCATTGTGCGCCTATGTATACCCATCAGTTATCGTTATTACTGTAACGCCACTGTGTAAAATACCTTTGGTCATCGAACGAAACAAGCTCTCGATTATTCAAAAGTTGCGTCGCGAGCTCTCGAAGCTTAACGTCTTTTTCTCAACTTTTTCCCGGGTGGAGGGAAAAGAGAGTATAGGTACGCGGAAAAAGTCAATGAATGGAAACTCCCACCGGTGTCGAGTAAGTGGTGGAGAGAAGGACTTGGGGTGTACTTTTCCGTACGCGAAATTGGCCAACTTTCCTGCCGACTCGAGCATCAGAGGCACGCGAAAAATGAAATTTTTCCTAACCAATGGCGCTCCAATCAAACGTCGCGACTGTGAGCCCGACGGGGGGCGGGGCCTTTGAGAGAAATTGACAGTGACGTTTCCCCCTGTTTTGCCAAGTTGAGATTTCTCTCCGACTCTTGGGGGCGACTGCGTGGGTGTGTGTTTTTTTCTACGCTTGGCAATATCCGAGTTTGAGTCTTTGGAAACTTGCTCCTCTTCTTTTCTTTGCGACTCACGTAGCGGATACCCTTGTTTTTCGGTTTTTCGAGTTGACAACATTGTCCCAAGTGACCTTATTGGCTGCTGCATTTTTTCGAATAAAATATCAGGGGAAAACAGTTTGCATTTTTCATTTTAAATGATACTTCAAAGATGATGCGGGTTTTAGAGCGAGAAAAAAAAAAAAAAAAAAAAGATGGTCGGACAATTTGCTCTGTTGGCAAACTCATCGCAAAGAAAGGCCATCAACGCCGGCCGTAAAATCAACCCCGTCGAATCGAGACAGAGGTCGTCTGGGAAAACGTACGATTGGGGAAAGGTCGAAAGTTATGAGGGCTGTTTTATGAAAAATTCTTCACCCCCTCGACCCGTGACTAGGGCCTTGACAACCTCGAGACACGAGAAGTGCTTCCCTCTCGACCAAAGTTTTTAACTCATTTACTTAGCGAGATTGCGTTCGACGGTAAGGGCAGGAATTTAACAATCACCAAGTAGGTCACAGACAAAAAGTGCTTTTCGATTAACCCTCTTGTATTGGATAGCGACATCGACTACAAAGTTCCCTTCCCTTTGTATATACTTGATGATTCGATTCCTTGACAAGGAGTACACTCATCATGTCCAACTTTTCAAATGAAACAACATATTGACAGTACAATTACTACACATCCACATCAAGTGACAGAATTTTTGGTTTCAATCGTTGATAAGAAAATTAACAAATTTGTAAGGCGACTCATCACTGAGAACCAGAAAAAATGTGGTATATTTTTGCAGGTCATGTGCATGCAGTACTGGCCGGCGAGTAAAGAAAAAGACGAGGAGTACGGTGACATCGGTGTCTCCGTACTGCACGAAGAAGAATTGGCGAATTTCCACATACGAACGATCAGGCTGTACAAAAAGGACAACAAGGACGTGAGTTTTTTTTTTTTTTTTTTTTTTTGACTTCTCGAAAGATGTTGCGTTTCGGATGAGCAAAACAAATATTCTCTGATTCGCAGAACATCGAGGAGGAGCGAACGATACTGCAGTTCCATTACACGGAATGGCACTCGCACACGTGTCCCTTCAGCAACGCGGTGCTTGAATTCCGGAGACGCGTTCGCGCGGTCGTTGGGCCAATTCTGCAGAGCGACGCCGGACCCATGATTGTGCACTGCAAGTGAGTCCTCAAAGACCATAGCCTTATAATTACCGTTCGGATTGTCGTCTTGAAATAAATTATCATTAGTACACTCCATTATGTACGTGTATGTTTTTTTTTTATTTTAATGCCGAGAGGCGAAACTTTTTTAATTAACGCAGTTTCCAACTGAGCTGTTGTCATTTAAAAATCAATTTCGAATTAATGGAAAATATTCCTGAAACACATATTGCCGCATGACGCGCGGTATAAATTGAAATTAAAATGTCTGACGTATAATCGATGCCCATCGTGAAATGCGCAGCGACGGTGGTGGACGCTCGGGTGTTTTCTTGGCCATCGACGCGAACATGGAGCTGGCAGAAGAGGAGGACTCCTTCGACGTGTTTGGTTACATGAAAAAACTCCGGCAGAGTAGAAAAGGCCTCATAGAGAATGTGGTAAGGTATTTACTTTGGTCTATTTTTTTTCGGATCATTAATTTTCCCCGCAGAACGTCGTGAGCAAATTTCACTATACCCACACGTTTTTTGTTAGTAGTAATACACCGTATTACGTCAGACGTGTCCCCATAAAGATTATTGATTTTTTGATAAGTAAACCGTTGGTCAAACATAACGTATACAATTAATGTATATACGTTACAGTAGTAGTATAAACCAGTATTATGTCAGACACGATATCATAAAAAAACTTGATTAGATCTTTGACTTTGTCATTTGGTTTTTAAGTTTTTCATGTTCAACCAAGTACAATCGCCATTCAATATTTACACGTGTAAATTATTTCGTTATACTACCCAAAATTATTTTAAACACACGCTTCAAGATCTTAAATTTGACTTTTTTTTTATTACCACACGAATATTATAATAATATTTAATGTGACTGTATTGGTCAATATTTATTAGTACAACACTGTATTTTATCTCGCGTCACCTCATTAAATTAAGTGTGTGGTTAAGTGACATTGACATGGTTTACTTAGGATCACTAATTTATCAACCATGACATGTATACTTGCAGCGTTTGTCATCAGGAAATAGGGTCGATTAAGTAATACCACACAAAAGTGCGTCAGCACAACTTTTTTTCCTTTGCATTTCCCTTTCACGTACCACTTTATCATCCTAGTAAAATTAGTAAATAGAGAAGAAAGACAATTTTGTCGTAACGTAAAAATTGACGCTTCTTCCAAAAAACGCAGGAGCAGTACAAATTCGTGTACGACACGCTGGAGGAGTTCGTGGTCTGCGGAGCGTCGTGGTTCCCAGTTTCGGAGCTGTCGGCGCGGCTCAAGCAAAAGAGCCTGAAGAACTCGATAACGAAGATGAACGAGTACCAGCGCGAGTACCAGCAAATCTGCAAGCAGACGCCGAGATTTACGATTGGCGACTGCGCTGGAGGACACAGGGCCGACAATCGCGAGAAGAACCGCGACGTCCTCGTTGTGCCACGTGAGTTCATTTTTTTTTTTTTTTTTTCTTTTTTTTTCTTATAGCGTACACATTCACTGTCTTGGGAACTGGGTTTTTTTTTTTTTTTTCATATTTGATGTACGGGTCCTATTGGGAGATGTGGGAGCACGAAAAAAAAGGAGCGTGCGATGATATATTATGTCGAGGAGCCAGATTGGCTGGGCACTCCAACTACAGCGGGCAATAAAATATGTGTTTTCTTTAGTCCAAAAGTTGGGATTGTGTCGAGCAATGGTCTAGCCGATTCTTCGAGTGATTGTTTTGGCAAGATGATAACTTTTACAATGACAATTGTCTTTTTGCTTCAGCTGATAATTTCCGACCGTACTTGACGAGTTTCCAGGGCAACACGTTCACGGATTACATAAACGCGGTTTTCGTCGATGTGAGTAGCTTCGATGATCGATTCGATCAATACGCCTCGTTTAAATGAAAAATCTCATGATAAAAAGCCAAACTCACCTTATGGCGCATCAATCGCAGGGTTACACCAAGCCGCGCGAGTACATAGTGACCGAGTGGCCGGTGACGCGCTGCCTGGGCGAGTTCTGGTCTCTCGTCTACGACTACGAGTGCTCGGCGGTGGTGGTGCTGTGCGTACCCCCGCCCAACTCCGCCAACTACCCGAGCTTCTGGCCCGAGGGTCGACATTCCAAAAAATACGGCCCCGTATTCACGATCGACCACATCAGCCACAATCACTACACCAACATCAAGACTTGGGTAAGTCCAGCGGCGCGTACGTGCGTCCTATTGTCCGAAAGATGATTAATTTTTTGCTATTTGCAACAATGGAGAATTCAATTCCAGAAAATTCACTTTTGCAATTAAATAATTACGATCTATCTTAACTGCCTTATTGTTTTGAATAATTTTTTTTTTTTCCAACTAGTTGTATACTTATTAGCCTCTAAGCTTAACGTGATAAGCACCATTCATTTGATAGTTTTATAACAAAGACACTAGATGTTGAAAATATTTTAATGAAAGGGCTAAAGTAAACAAAGGGAGCCCACGTCAAAAGGGATGTTTGAAATTGAATGTATATTTGTAACAAAAAAAAAAAAAAAAAACAGCCCGTTCGTAAACAACTTGGTTTGGCCACGCAGGTGTTTCGAATAAACAAAAAAATCGTCTCACTGACGGAGCTGATGGCCGGCGTGAAGGCACCCCCGAAGACCGTCCAGCTGTTCCAGCTGACGTGTTGGCCCATGGGCCAGCAGGTGCCAACGTCAACCAACAGCCTCGTCGAGCTGATGAACATGGTCGAGCGTTGGCGCCAGCGCACCGACTACGGCCCCGTGGCCGTCGTCTCCCCCGACGGCAGGAGCCGCTGCGGCGTCTACTGCGCGGCCAACGCCTGCATCGAGCAAGTCATCCAGCACGGCGAGGTCGACGTCTTCCAGGCCGTGAAGACCGTGCGACGCCACCGGCCCCAACTCATCGAGAACATGGTCGGTTTGCCCTTCACTTCCCACCACCCACCCATTCATATTTTGCACTTTTTTTCATTTCTCAGTCTTTTCCTCGATTTCCTGGTTATTTCTCTGTTTTTCCCCCCCGCAGACCGAGTACAAGTACTGCTACGATCTGGTGCTGCACTACGTGCTGCACTACCTGAACAAAGAGATGAACGAAAAGAAGTGAGAAAGCGAGTTGCGGGACGAGCTGTGGTTCATCGAGTTTGGCCGCGGCGCTGCTCTGCCCCTGACGCCCGAGGAAGCTCCGGCGGACGGCGAGCCGGTGGTACCCTGCGCCCAAGGCCGGGTCGTCGTCGAAACGGCCAGACCGTCGGTGCCCTACTTCGCCACCTGTTCGACCTATCGGCGCCAAATCATGGATCAGCACCACCAACAACAACTTTACCGGCAACACCAGCAATTGTCATCCACAGCCTCGATAGCGACAGAACCGGCGAGCCAATCCACAACGACGACCACGACGACGCTGCCATCCCACCGCGAGCCAAAGTTCCACCTGATCAGGAGCGCGACCCTCAATCCTCTCCAAGGCATCAACACCCCAGCCTTGCGGCCCGAGGACCTCAGAGTCAAGCCCTGGTACGAGAACGCGTCGTCGCTCGCTTCGAGAGACAGCCCGCCGCCCACGGTGCCACCGTGTCCCGTCAACAACCAGTCGTGCGACCTGGACATCGGCTCGGTCCGAGGAACGGAGGCCGCGTCCACGCGCACGAGCAGCATGGAGAGCGAGGCGCCCCGAGACGGCGCCCCCGTGGTCCCGCGCAAGGCCTGCATGGACCTAAACGACGCGATCGCCCTGCTCGACGAGACCTGCCCCAACCCCAACGTCAGTCCCCAACTGACCCCACGGACGCCCCTCACGCCCCACCCGAGGAACAAACGCGCCCGCTCCAAGAGCAGCGACAACTCCTCCAACTATAGCACCGAGAGGCTCAACGAGAGGCCCCCCCAGGCGGATAAGGAGCGCAAGAGGCCCTTCCTCAAGAAAATCGGCATATCCATGACCCTGGACAAGTTCGTCTTCGACAGCAGCCCGAGGCAGCGCAAGGGGGCGGCTATGATACCCGAGGAGCCGCCAGCCGGGCTGGACAACAAGACGGCCCAGGAGCAGCGCAGGGCCGAGATACGGAGCTTCTCGACGGGGGAGCGGCGCCGCTCGGGCCGCAACTTCCTCCTGAAGATGTACTCGTTCGAGACGGAGGATTTGGAGGACGGGCCCCCAAGCAAGGGACGCCGGGATCCCTTGAGGGGCGCATCGCTGGACGACGTGCTCGAGTCGGGAACGATGGCGGAGAGCGGGGATACGACGACGTCGAGCGCGGCCGAGCTCGTGAGGTGCCGCGTGACCACCAGCGAGGAGATCATCGCGTACTCGGCGAGCGACTCCTCCCCCCACCTTGACTGGGGCAACGGGTGCCCGACTACCAAGGGAAAGGAGCCGCCGAGCGTCCCCAACTCACCGACCAAGAGGACGCACTCGGTGACCCCGGAAAAGGTGACTGCCGTGTACAAGGAGCTCGAAGTAGGGCGGCGGGGCACCGGTGGCCGGCAATCCTCCGACGAGATCCTCGACAAGCGCAAGAGCCGATTCGAGCGCTTCGAGACCCACTCGACCGACAGTCTGGCCTCGGGCAGGGTCGCCACCCCCGTGTTCGCCGAGATCGGGGGCAAGGTGAACGGTAAGCTCGGCTCGAGCTCGTCCGTCGTCTCGTCCGTGGCCTCGAGCACGCGGCACCTGCAGCAGGGGCGCGACAAGTTCGACGGCAGCCAGGAGGTGTTCAAGGAGTCGTACGCCGAGTTCAAGCTGCGCACCCGGGGCTGCTCCTCGAACGCCCTGAAGCGGCTCGTGGGGGGACGCGAGAGGAACGGCTCGCCCTCGTTCGACCTCGGCTTGTCGTGCAAGGAGGCCAGGGTGGAGGGCTCGCCCAAGGCTCGGTCAAAGTCCGCGGAGACCAAGCCCGCCGGTGCAACGCTCGATTCGGAGGACAGTGGTGGTGGTGGTGGTGGTCGGCGCTTGAGGAATCGCTCGGTGCTGAGGAAGCAGCAGGGCATCGAGCACTCGAACTACCAGCCGGACGAGCCGGTGGCGCGGAGGCTACCGCACGAGCCGTCCCAGGAGACCCTGGACCTGCTCACGGAGCTCCAGAGGGTCAAGAGCCAGCTGAGGACGCCGAGCGAGACGTACTCGGAGGTGGACGCCACGGCGGGATCGAACTTTCCCAGGCGGGTTCTACTGACCGACCGGGAGTTTTGCCTGTCGGTGGAGAGGGAGAACAGCTTGAGGCAGTCGTCGAGGGGGAAAAGCTTGGATGACGGCGACGAGGACGGGTCGACGGCGGGGCCGAGGCACGTGGCGTCCCTGGGAAGGGGTCCTCGGTCAGAGGAGGTGACGGAGTTGGTGACGAGCGACTCGAGGAGCTACAGCTCGGACGTGTTCAACTCGCCGGAGGAGAGCGAGGCCAAGCCGGAGGCGCAGTCGAAGAAGGCAGGGGGGAGGAGGGGCGAGCTGAAGCCGGGGGGAAAGGGGCCGAGGGAGCGGAGCAAGAGCCCGAGGTCGGCCGAGGAGGAGGTCGGGCCGAGGAGGAGGACCGAGGCTTCGGAGGCGCCCAAGGTGGCAACGCCGTTTCGGATGAAGAAGCGGCTCGGGAGGATCTCGGTGGAGGAGACGGTCAAGCAGGAGAGCTTCGCTGCCGGTAAGGTTGAGTGCAAGGAGCTCGCCGTGCAGAAGAAGGCCAAGTGCCTGCCGCTGTAGTGGTCGGGCAGAGGGGCTGACGACGCGTGAAGTCTCGAGTTCCCTCTGACTTTTCGGACCACTTTTCTATCGTTGACGTTGCGTGTACGGGGGTTGATATTTTTTTTTTTTTTTTCCTTTCCATTCTCGCTGTTGTTCATTTGTAGACCGTAGTAGACCGTCGCTAGCTGTGAGAGACCAACGCGTTGTTTTTTCTGTTTGTGGGAAATTATTTGTTTATTCGTGTGTTTTCTCACTATTGGCGAAAAGTTTTTTTTTCTTTTATTGTAAGCTGATCAAACGTAAAAGATATGAATTTGCAACGAAATGGTTCAAAGTTGATCAGCAGAAAAACTCGATCAAGTTTTTTTTTTAATGCAAAAGTAACGATAATTTGAATTTCCTCGTAACGATTTGTTAAAATCGTTTTTGGTACTTTTTATATGTATATATGTCAAATCCTACTCTGTCTCTCGTAGGCTTGGAACTTTATTAAAAATTTCTATCTGACGTTACATAGAGGAAACATTTTCCGTTGCAAACAAGAGAGTCTTTACTTACCGAATGGGGTGACTTGAAATATAAACAAAAAACCAAACAAAAAAATCACTTTATTGCGCAGTGCCTTGTCCGTGTAGAAAAATAATAGCATTGATGTCAAGTCGGGCATGTCGATGATTTTCCATCCGGAGTGTGAACAAAAATCGTCCTTAGAACAAAGCATGATCAAAGAAAAATATAGAAAAGAGAGCCAGTGTCGCCGACCGAATATCGTTTAAAAATACTAATCGGCACTTTCTTCATGTGCTCAACTACAACGACACTTGTGTCGCGCGATACTAAATGCACAAAATAGCAAAAAATTAAAAAAATAATAATAATAAAAATGGTCGTTATACGTTCCTCTTGTGATTTTTCTAGCAGCATAGACATATATATATATACACACACATGGTGAGAAAAGCTCTGATTGTAAGGAAAGTATAAACTATATAAATATTATAAATATTCATATA